AGCAAACAGGGAGTAGCTGATTAATACTCATAAGTTATCACCTGCCTTATCGGAGATTAAGCTGGGGGACCCAACACATTTCACACTGCTTGCAAACGAGGAAGACACCAGAACAGAGGCAACCTGAGAGGATCATCAAACCTGCTTGAACACCACATAGGCAACTCAAGACCAGCACTTTTCTCCCTGGTATGGTCAGAGATTGATTTTCTGGGACCTGGGGACAGGCCCACAAGCCAGGCCCAAAACCCCCAGGACTCAATCGAGAGGACAGATGAGAAAGAATCAGCACAAGAACTACAGAAATATGAAAAATTAGAGCAAAAGGACACCCCCAAAAGGAAACAACAATTCTTTACCAATGGATACCAAACAAAATGAAAATATCAAAGTAACAGCTAAAGAATTCCAAATTTGGATTACAAGGAAGTTCAATGAAATACAAGAGAAAACTGAAAACCAATACAAAGAAACTACAAAAACAATACAGGAAATGAATTAAAAATTCACTAAAGAAATAGAATTATTAAAAAAAATCAAATAGAACTTCTGGAAATGAAAAATTCATTCAAGGAAATACTAAACACAGTGGAAAGTATTAAGAATAGACTAGATCAGGAAAAGAATCTCAGAGCTTGAAGACAACACCTTTGAATTAAACAAGTCAGTCAAAGAAAAAGAACAGATAAATAAGAGGAATGAACAAAGCCTACAAGAAATATGGGATTATGTAAAGAGGCCAAACATAAGAATCATGGGCAATTCTGAGGATGAAGAAGAAAACACAGAAGGGTTGGAAAATCTATTTGAGGGAATAATTGAGGAAAAGTTCCCTGGTCTTGCTAGAAATTTAGATATCCCGGTACAAGAAGCTCAACGAACACCTGGGAGATTCATTGCAAAGAGGCAATCACCATGACAGATAGTCATCAGATTGGCCAAAGTCAACACAAAGGAGGAACTCCCGTAAGCCATAAGGTGAAAACATCAGGTAACTTACAAAGGAAAGTTTGTAACTGCACACTTCTCAACTAAGACTTTACAAGCCAGAAGGCATTAGGGCCCCATCCTCAGTCTTCTTAAACAGAATAAGGGACAGCCTAGAATTTTGTATGCTGCAAAACTAAGTTTCCTATATGATGGAAAAATAAAGACTTTTTCAGACAAGCAAACACTGAGGGAATTTGTGAAGACCAGACTGGCCCCGTAAGATAAAAACTAGGGCTCCAGTCAAAGAGATGGACATGCTTTAAGGTTTAGGGACATCTGAACAAGCATGCCCTAAATTTAAATAATTATGACTAAAAGAAGGAAAGACTATGTACCCCTTTAAAAAATATTTCCTCATATGCCTCTGATAAGACCATAGACCTTTGAAAATAGTATTATACATTATAAAAGTTTGAAGAAACTTTGGCGTCCGCTTCCAAAGTCTGATGGTCATTGGAAAACCAAGAATTCTCACTCAGCAGCTCTTAAATTATTCAAATCTAATGTGAGGTTAAAAGAAATAAAGAATTTAATGTCTCCTTGATTCAATCAACTATGGAAATGATGCTGTCTCCACTAATCCGAAGAAGAGGTAGAGATAGGTCAAGGGAGAATACTGTACAGTTTTCTGAGAAGCCTTTGCAGAATTATTTAAACAAAAATACCTACTGATTTTAGAAAATATAATCAAAAATTGTTATGAGAATGATTCCTTTTCTACCTTGCAGGTTCTTTGACTTTAACAGTAGAACTCCCTAGATAAAATTTAATTTTAAGTTAAATTTTGTTTATTTGGAAATTTAAATTATCAGTATTAAAAACACTCTGTGTGTTTAACATATTAAACTTACTCAAGTGAAGCATTAAGAATTTGGAACTAAAATAAATGAGATAATGAGAAAGCGAAAACATATTTTTTATAATTAACAGCTCATTTTGAGTTAATTATACACAATTACCAAAATCTAATTGCAATTTATTTTCTATTATCTGTGGGAAGAATCACAGGCAAGGGAGCTTACAATGCTGCTTCCTTCCTGCATAAATACTATAGAATGAAAATAAATAATATGTGAGGCCTTAATGACAAATAAGAGCAAACAGTAGGGCACAGCTGAGCCAAACCATTGGAAGATAATTATCACATGAAAGATGGTAATGACTTAAATAAAAGTCACAAGTTGTTTATAAGTCCTCCAGTTTTTTTTTTTACTTAGTTTGTTTATTGGTTATACAAAGATGACCCTTATAAATTAACAGTTTTGTAATTCTGCATACTCCTAAAAATCTGACCATTTTTATACTTTCATATAATACTAAGCAATTCAACAAAAATTTTTATTGAACACCTATTGTTAAGAAAAAAACAACCTTGCTAAGTACTGCAGGAGATGAAGAAAAGCCACTTCCTTCAAGCACCTTAACAGTAGAATAAGGCAAATATATAAATATTTATCATCTATACAGAATATAAGGGCTATAAAGGAAACACAAGAAAATATTTCTGGAAGAGGTAATATTTGAGATAAATCCTAAAAGATAGGATAGAATTTTGACAGGCCAGAAATAGGGACCTATCCTCCCTACCTGAAACACAGACAGCTGAAACATATATACATACTCTCCTAGGGAATTAGAGCATGGACACCTTTGGGGGAAAATTATTCTGCTTACTATAGCTCTATATCTAAAACCTGATAAAATAACCATCAAGTATTGTTAAGTGAAAAAAAATGTGTTCTATTTTATCTCAAACATATACTGATATTGTTTATATTTGTAAGCACAAAGAAAGGTTTAGAAGGATACATATCAGAGTGCTAACACTAAGTCAACCAAGACAGGCTAGAAAATAAAATACGGAATGAAAGACGACTAATATTTTCTTGATATGTCTTTGGACGTTTTATCTTTTATAAGAGAAATGTTTACTTTTAAGTTTTTTTTAAAGTTTAATTTAAAATATTTTAAGATGGGTTATCAAATAGGATGTATAATATAAATACACAACCCATACTCATAAATGAATAAGAAGTTATATATAAAGATTAGCTCTAGATAAGATTATGGGTACATTTTATTTTTTTCTTTTGGCTTATCAGCATTTTATATTTTTGTCTACCATGAAAGAAAGTAAATTGGTAAAGATATAGATAAACATGAATAGCATTAAGAATAAGAAAAAAATATTTTAAATTAAAAAATATATTACAAAGTTCATACATATCAACTAAAGAAGAAATATAATACCCCTATATACAAAAATGTGGATGCAGGCAGGAAATTAAAATGCCACAAAGAAGAAACACAAAGGGTTAATACACACATAGAGAAATGTTCATTCTAATTGAGTACTGAGTAACTACAAATTACAATAGGATTCCATCTTTCCACTGACTAAATTGTCAAATATCATTTAACTCAGCAGTCCCCAACCTTTTTGGCACCAGGGACTGTTTTCATGGAAGACAATTTTTCTATGGACTGGGGGCGAGGGCAGTAGTTTCAGATAATTCAAGTGCATTACATTTATTGTGCACTTTATTTCTATTATTATTACATTGTGATCTATTATGAAATAATTATACAACTCACCATAGGTTGGGGACCCCTGAAACTATATAAATCAACACTGGAGAGCTAATTAGTTGATTGTGAACCCACCTCTATTCCCTTCTAAAACTGTTAAAAAAAATAATAGTAAAAGGATAAAAAAAAAAAAAAAGACATAAACCTATGTAGCTGCAGAAAAGTGAAGAAGAGAGGACAAAGAGATAAGAGATGTCACAAAATTTTAGAAGCCTAGAAAGCAGATGTATGAGTTGAAACTCAACTAGCAAAGCAGAAAAATCAAAACTGAAATATCTGCTAGCTGAGGTTGAAGGAGGTTGTAAGCTGAAACATGCCAGAGAACTCCTGAAAGGTTCAGGGACTGGAGGAAGAAGGTAGGAATGCAGGTGGGACTAAAAGCACAGCTGGCTGAAAGTCTGAGTAGCAGTCAAAAGTGAAGTCCTCCTCTATGTGTCCCTATCTTGTGGAGAAGACCGAAGTTTTATCCCCTGGAAGAAGCTGAAAAAGAATGACTCTGGACATGGGGGCCTGAAATACAGTTGAGGGCTGAAACCCATATAGATAAAAGCGGAAGTAAGTGAAAGCCTACATAATGACTGATGGGTCCCTTTTTTCTCACTCTAATAGGCTCCCCACATTGGCAGCCACACTTATATTAACACAATGCTCCCATCCCTTCTTCCCACCCAGACAGATGATTTATCCCTAGAGAAACTGACTACCCCAAGTGAAAAGACCTATGAATAGCAACAGGTCTAATAGCAAAGGGTCCCCAAGGTTCCCACCTGATCACAGTGAAGTCTATTAGTTGACAAGCCTTGCTCATATACACTTAGAGCTTTCAATAGGTTTTAACTGTTTTTCTTGTAAATGTAAGTGGATCATGAGACGTTGGTGGAAAAAATAAGAAAATGAGGGATGATTCTTGAAATCTATAACAAGGAAATAGCTATAGATAAAGTCAAAAATTTACTCTGAGAAATGTTCTTCAAGACATAATTTATAATAGAAAAACTCTATATTATCCAATAACAGGCTAATAGCTAAAAATCGGGGCACCACTGCCACACAGTAAATATTTTTTGAATAAATTAATTAGTATGCTTTACAAAGTAATAACATCAGAAAATATGATACAGTGAAAAAAGTAACAAATAAAATCCTGTATAAGCATAATCTCTATTATCAATATAGACTACAATATCATACAAAGAAAAGTAGGAGGAAAAGGTTCAAAGGATTGTCTCCGAGTTTTAGGATTATGAATGATTTTTATTTTCTTTTTTATACTTTTCTGTCTTTTTCAAAAATTTATAATGAGAACATATTTATTCATGTGGCCAGAAAACTGTATTAACCAATATAGAGCCATAATTTTATACCAAATATATGTTACACATGTCTTTAATATCCTTGCCTTCACCACCCCTCAGGTTTACCTTGGTACACAGTCACTCCCATTCATATCCAGATTGAGTTCTCGGGCTTTCATGAGCTCTTTGTCAGCAACTAGTTCTCTGGATTTAAACACAGCTTGAGTTCTTAACCTGCAAAAATAAATTTAAAGAATTTCTAATCCTGTGGAGTGTGATAAACTGAATGGTAATCCTTAGAAAAACTATGTTCTTTCAGTT